CTCTTTGATTTTTGCTCTATAAAAGGAGTATATTTTTTATTTCTATAAACAAAAACTTTTCTTCAAAGAGTTTGATAGAGAGTTCATCAATTTTCAATATATTCAAAAATTAAACAGAGGTATGAGCCGAGAACGGGAACAAGCCCAAATGGAAGTTTTGACAAAACATGTAAAGCCGTGAGCTATATGGCTACCTATCCGCACTTTATTAAAGTGCATGCCTATCCAAGATTTTTTTCATGATTGAATTGCAAAGTTAATTTAAAATCATAATGTAACATAAATTATCTTCTATAACTTTGTTATCTTTCCTGTATGTCAAGATTTTCGACTTTGTTTGATATGCAAAAGTGACGTAAATGACGTCACGCTGCATAATGAGTTTTTAAACTGAGGTTTGCCGTTAGCGGTTTCACGTTTGCCGTACTTGCAAATATGAAATTAAGATTGACGTTTTTCTTCGCGTTCAATTTTTTCCGTCGAAATTGTGCCATCCTGTCAAAAAAACAAATGTCACTACCAATTTGTTAAAATGAATTGAAAGTAAGAAATATGCAAATATGCTTAAACACGGACTGTGAAAGGTCATCAATGATTTTGAACTTGCTTTATCGTGAGTGTTCAAATGTAAACGTTTATTAATTAAAACGATTCAAAACACGACTTGAACTAACTAAATATTGAACTAACAATCGAATTGTTCATGTTTGTTTAACCCAAATAAATTAGAGTCGATTGGGCGCCATGTTGTCTATGTATCGAATTTATGCATGGTTCGGTTAAAAGTACTCAGAATATGAAAAAGTTCCCGTTAAAAACAACTTTTATCCATCCAAATCAAAGATAATATGTATATTTGTCTTAATATATATGTCATATACGTGCAATGAAGTAATAACAGTTGAATAAAATGCCGAGGTAAATCACTTACCTGTAGAATGCACTCTTGAGGTTTAAAACGTGAGCGATTTATGGCAAACGTGACGGCAAGCTCCTGGTCACGTGGTTTCTAGCGGTTAGCGGTTAGACGTTTGCGAGAAATACGTCAATCTTAAGGTGTCTAATGACAAGTTTATCAAGCTAAACTAAAAGTTACTACCGCAAGGAAAGCGCTGCCTCAACTCGTCTTCCATCACACAAGCACGTAAGGTCCCCTAAAAGACCTGTTCAGGAGGTAGGAAAAGTGCAATTTGAATACGAAAACATCTTGCACAAAGTCGAAGGTCAGATAGATATTCTGATTATTAGCATGAGAAAATTACTGGATGTATATACTGAAAATTACTTATTTCATTAATTGTACTGCAGTACAATTAATGATTTTCCCAAAACAAACAAAATGGCGGCGGAAGGGTATTTTAAACACAAGCGTGAAATGAAATTGTCGTGAAGGAACTAGATGAGAATACAGACAAAAGCACCAAATTTTGCTTGAACAAAAGAACTAAATGAAAATACAAACAACAACACCAAATTTTGGTTGAAAGTGTGGCAGAACTGGGCTTTGGCGAGAGAATATGATGTTGACATTGAGAAGTACGTATGCAATTTTGTCATGCTAATAATAAACGTAAGTAATCATGCGATGTTGCTCGCACAATTAGGGATTAATAGTACTCGTGATGTTTGGAAATTTGCCAAATTGGACTCGCCCCGGCGGTTCGTCCAATTTTGGAACATTTCCAAACATCACTCGTACTATTAATCCCTAGTTGTACTCGCCATCGCATGATTACCTATACTAATCATAAAGATTATAAATAACACTAGAAAAGGCATTGAGGTTAAAAATTTGGGAACAGGTCTATTGGGGGGGAATGTAGGTCCCGGATATAATATCATGCTGTCATCAATGGAAACACAAGTACACATGAAGGAATTCCCCCCCCCCGCAATATCAGGATTCCTTTTTTGCCTAATGTCACTCCTCTAGTGTTATTTATAATCTCTATGATTCTATTAAATCCTATTGACTTCCACAAATTCCTTACTCTTCAAGAAATTACTTCCTTGAAAATTCCTTCGTTCTAAAAATAGGAAGGACTTTGTGAAAGTCTACAGGTTATACTATGCACATTTTTAATGATTTGCATTATTCAGATAGATGCAGGTTTATTGGCATAGCATGACCAGTTGTCGTGGCTAGCTTGCCACTGAATACTATACAATATCATGTATAACAAACAATAATAATACTTGAATGAATCATTGGATATGTAGAATTTAATTACAATTTCATACATAAAAATACTACCAGTAAGGGCCAGTTCAAATGGGCAAAAGTTATCCGTGTTAGCGAGAAAACTTTTCAACAAGTTTACAAGCGAGATCTCACCTTGGTATGAAAATAATATGAAAAGTTACATTCGTTCATATGAGACAACAACTTTTTCCGTATACCGAGATCTCGCTTGTTGACAGGCTAGATCTTGGTGACCGGGAAAATGTTTCCCATATGAACACAACTCTCCTGCTTAGCGGGATAACTTTCTGTCGTGTCAGCAACTTTTCAATTCAATTCATGTTCAGCGCTACGTCACAGCCGGAAACTTTACCCGGTAAGCGAGGTAAAGTTTCTCCATGTGAACAGAACAAAAGTATTTGACTAGTCGAAAAGTTTTCTCCTTAAACCGGGATAACTTTTGCCCATATGAACAGGCCCTTTGAAGTCAGTTTTGTCCTAACTATCATTTTAATGGCACCTTCAAGGCTACCCCTACTGTAGAACAACTGAACAATGAATCTGCCAATCGGGAAACAAAATCTATTTTGTTGACATTTTTGTTTAATACATCAGCTTCAGATGACCATTCATTTGTAATGACTATATATATAATAAGAAATTGTGAGCATTATTGTATACAATTGTGTGTTCCAATGTGGGCATCATACTGCTCGATTAGTAGTCATCGCCCAGGAAAATAAAACAATTGCAAATGGCCACTATCGAAATGACGAAATTGTCCCAGGTCATGACTATTAAAACCAGCATTTCTCGCAGGTATCAAGCCTTGAGACTTCATTATGCATAAGTTATTTGATATACAGTAAAGCCCCACCAGCAGGTTAAGAACGACTATAGCCTGAAATTTTGGCAATTAAGCACCCAAAATACAAGTTTTTTAAAAACTTTTTAAGTTTGGATATATGTCACACCAACCATATTAGTGTCACAGCAATAGTCTTATGCAACAACAGGTCCTATTTTCAGTTATATTCTGTAGAATATAAAAAAGTATAGTGTGAAGCAAGTCAAAATTCACTGAACTTTTATACGGGGCTTTACTGTATATCATAATCATTTTACTGTAATATATAACTATTTTTATTGGCAATTTTCTAATTGACATACAACCTATCAGTACATTTGTAAAATTTGATATACAATACCTTGTTGGCTTGATCTTTTGACAGAAATATGCATGCGAGATCACACTTCGCATAAAATATATAGAGTTCACACATCGCTAGCAAGTTTGGTAGAGGTACAGGTACAGGTACAGGTGCAGGTACAGCGAGTTCACAATTCACTGCTTTTTTGAAAAACATAATATGAACGGCCCCTTTTGATTTGATTTGACCAAAAGATCCACGAACACACACCAAAATTAGCAAAATATATAGTCGATATTTTTTTGAAAACTTGTTGTCAACTTGCCAGGAACTATTCAGGAAAGAAGCCTTTGAACAGGCGTTTAGAAAGAAAGCGGAAGTTATGCTGGAATTCGAATCATACGTCACAATACGTCATCAATCCATTGTTCTAAATACTGAATCCGAAAATCTTGAATTCTCCTCCACATAACTCGCGGAAAGACTGGGACCGACAAAAACACTGTAAAATACAATATGCAGTGTGACGTCATCTACGTCATATTTGCAAGCCAAACAAAGTCCAATATCTTGATATACAGGAAAGATAACAAAGTTTTAGAAAAAAAGTTACATTATGATTTTAAATTAACTTTGCAATTCAATAATAAAAAATATTCTCGCTTAGGTACTTTAAAGGTTCATTTGTTCTGTTCCACTGTATAGCTGGGGTAATTATTCAAAATTTAGAGGGTCGCACACGATAAAACAAGATGTAAATGGCTTTTGTAGATGAAAATTTTGAGTGAAAACTAGGCGTAAGGAACGATAGCTACAAAAACTCTTCAGCATTGTGCACTTATAGACCCCAAGGCCAACAAGTCTGATTTTGATGGCAGTCAAATACCATCGAATATTTTCGTCTTTAACATTGTGAAACCGGTACGTATAAAACAGAGCAGCTTAAGAGCATTTTTTGTACTTTTCAAGATTTTTTGCTTGTCAGAATAACACAACGAGACTAAGGAAATATAATATGAACTTGGTATCAGAATAACAGAAAACACAAAATTAGGGGAGATGCAATTTTCAATATTTAACCTGCGAGCGGGCATACTTTGACAAGCTAGATTGGCGAATTCATTACGAGATGAGCACGAGATCGGCAAAATAACACTCGTCCGCATCTTTAACAACTTGAAACTGAATGCATGATGCATGGGAGACTATAGGAAAGGTTAATTTGAAAAAAACAGTGAAATAGTTTCCCCGTTGATATATAGTATGCTACTTAGGTATAACGTACCGCATAAAAAGTGGTTTCACTCGAGGCTTTACTCGAAGCATTACTCTTGTACCCATTATATAGCGTTTCTAACAAATTTTTGAAAATAAAGATAACAAATATTCGCTATATATCTTCTCACGAGTGACAGATGCGGTAGAGAATTCACTTCTACTTAGAAAAATGAGTTCCCTATCGCAATGTATTTGGGTTCCCGTTTGCATAGCCTGAATATTTCACCATATTTTTTATCATCTTCTGAAACGCTTTTATTACATCACAAATTTGTCCTCAGTCTTCCTCGCATACCAATTAATAATACATTCACCCGCATAAATGATATTATTGAAACAACACAAAAGTTTCAAATTTCTCGTTTTTGACAAAATATTTTTAACATATATTCTTATCTTTGCAAATTAAGTCATACAGTAGTAACTTTATAGTGATGTTATAACATAACTATTTAATCATTCATGCTATATCAATACTTTGGAGCATAAAGTTATACTAAATAGGCAGCACTAATTAATAACTCTACTTGCTTCGGTGAATGGTGGCTAACTTTTTTCGATGATAATAGAAATGCAGACTTTATTTCTTCAGTTAGTTGAATGTTAAGCAATAGTATCACTGATAACCTAGTCAAAACTTATGGCGCTTTCCATTAACACGGCCAGACTGGTAAGAACGGTCGAATTGTTGAATGAACACACAACATTTGGGCTTCAGACTTATCTGATCGGAAAATTTAGATACAATTAGAATGAGGTCTATTTTCGCTAGATATTTGAGAAACATAGACCAGATCTTTCCATTGATATACAGTTATCATACAGAGACAAAAATTCGGATCTGACCGGTCAGGCCATTAAATGAAAAGCGCCCCTAGGCCTAGTATACAAACACATGCATGAACGCTCAGCGCACTTCTTCTTGATCGACTCGATGTAATAAAGAGTCAATTTCGTCTGTGATACAGCGCCTGAATAAAGCTTGAAAGCAGAAGCGAAACATCAATACCAATTTAGAAAGAATACAAAGCGTTACCAAAGAAATTATTAGAAGAACAGGAGAAACTATAAGAATATTTTCAGTTACATTGATCATGTCTAACAAGCTACCAGAGTCCAAATCTTCACCATTATGAATACCTTTAACTAAACTAAATAGAGAGATTATTATCAGAGTTCCAAGGGATAAAGTTTCAAGTATGTTATCGCTGGCGGTCTTAAAAGGCTTGACGAACACATGAGTTAGCAAAATAGCTACACAAAGCATTGTGGATACAGTTGCTTTCATGTGATTATCAAAAACAAACGTGAGGACCAAAATCAAGGCCAAGCGACGAAAAATAAGAAAACATTCCCAGGGCAGATGCGAGGAAGGGAAAATAAAAGTTGCCCTGTGTGCCCGAAATGGGCCTAAAAGAACTCGAAGAACAGCAGAATCATTGCAACTGGGCTCAGGTTCTGAACGCAAATTTCCACTCACAATTTCACTATCTTCAAATGTATTTGAGTCTATAAAGTTTTCAGTACTGCTGTTGTTATCTTGTATTCGATCATCTTCTCCAATTGCGGCCACATTTTCGTTTGTCCTAACACGGCATAAACGTCTTATGCACCACGAAGAATTCCGTACCAACAAATACGACCAATAGAAACAAAATGGCAACGGAAAGATACAAGCCAGGCAAAACTGTGCCACAGAAATGCGATTTAATTTTAAAAGATAGGAGCCCAGAACAGGAACAAGACAAAATGGAAGTATGGACAAAATCATGTAACCAAAAAGAAATTTCTGAAAGGTTTGGTAACATTTAATATGACCATCAATAAATAAAACATGGCTGTTGCCTGCAACTGGTACACAGTAAAGCAGAGAAAGACACAACTGAGTCGACGAATTGTACATTAGAAGTGAAATGCTAGCAAAGGCCCCCGAAATACGATCCACAAAAGGGTTCTTTACCAGGTTAGGAGTATGTTCCGTTGTTTCAGTATGTGCAAAGGTCTGCTGACTTGATCTGGTCCTCAGTTTCTGCAATTTCTTCAATACAAAAGTAGAAAAATACAATAAACATAGAAGTACTAACAAGCTATATCCAACAGAATGAATGATCATCGCTTTTTGAACAGGTCGAAGTTCTTGAAATGGACAATCAAAGGCAGGAATGCTAACAATAAGAAAATTGAATGCTCTGGATAAAAAAGATTCCATGTCATCAAGTAATCTAGCTTTTTCATCTGAGCCAACAGAATTTCTTAACAAATGAACAACTTGATAATAATAAAATATTATTTTAATCAAGCCCCCGGGCTTGGTGTATCGACCATTTCTTGACGGCAAAAAGATTCTTGAAATAACACGAGTGTGCACAAAATTGAATATATTTTCCTGGTACAAGAAGAATAAGAGATAAAGTATTAAGTAAGCTGATACCCCTGGCCAAAATATACCACTTGTGCAGTTTTTGTTTGGTTTACATTTTGTGCTGAATAGAGATTCTGACATACCACTGGGACACTCGCCACACAGGGTGCCCATTCTGTGACCATGGCAAGTGTTGTAGTGTTTGCAATGATCTATATCACAGCAGTATTTGGGAGGACATTGTAGAAATTTGACTCTCTGGTTTGACTCATATCCCCAGAAATTTTTCTTCGAAGTTACTTTGCCTTCGGAGCAATCACCACTCGCAGGGCACTTTTGGCATGTGATTTTGTTAGTAATGTTGTGATGAACTTTTCCTCTGTCTAAAGAGTATGTGTTTGGCCGACATTGCTCACAAGATGCAAGAAAAAGGTTACAAACCGTTAAGTTTCTTGACTGTTTAATGCAGTGACAATTTAAATTCATCCAATAACCTATAGGACAAAAGATTGTAAAATACCCTTCCATAACGAAATTGTTTGTGTGTGACTCGTACGATATAATGTAGTACATGTTGCTGTTCAGCAAGTTACCATTGCTACTACTTTCTGCAACTGGATAGCTTTTGTAGAAAACATTTTCAAACGTTACTGTGACAGAACTTTCAACCCGAATGAGTGAAAAATCAGGATTGAATACAGGGACATTGTGAAAAAAACGGCATGACGAAAAATGGTAACGACCACTGACGAGATATATCAAACCTTCGTTTCGTGATATATCGCTTGTATTGTTAAACGTATTATTGTGAAGCTTAATTTAGTCAATGCCGTAGGGAATAACGTAATACAGGTCGACATAGCTCTGGAATGCTCTGGTGGTGTTTACGAACATAGAGTTGAAAATACCGACATTAAATTGTTCGGCTGCGATAGCTTGCAATAAATGCATATATACCACTGCAGAATCACAGCCAATGTTTTCAAAACGTAATATATCCAAAACTATGGTTGTTTCAACTCTCCCAATGAGCGAAGATATTAGAAGTGCCGCTGATTTTGGCATTCCCACAATATCATAAAAATTCACAAATATAGAAGACTTAATATTGACGTTACATATGGTAGTTCCAAGAATAATTGTAACAAGCGAGTTACAAAATAGTGGTTTTTTTGTCGTATTAAAAGTGCAGTCATAAATATGAACGTTTGATTCTGGCTTTGAATCGTAATAATTTACGCCAAATTCAGTCCCTGAAGATAGTTTAATTTGACATGAGAAAAACGTCGATCCATTCAGACGAATCGTCAGATTAGTGCAGTCCGCCGATATCGGATCTCGATAGCTTTCAATGGTGGAATTAAGCACTTGAATTGAACAAGATAAAGAATTAGCCCTTACAAAATACGAAGATCTTTTTATGTCACAGAAATTAAATTCGAGTTCAAACTTGCTAGAAATGTTATAGATAGCATCAAGTAAATCTCCATGGCTAGCCAGTGAAAGGTTAGAAAATACAATTTTTGGTGTTGTATGCTCAGAGTTATTTATTCCAAAAAATGGGTAAGTTTCTTGACAATGTAATATCGCTGTTCCATTAAAGCCGTAAAACGATAGCGATTTATCCAGCATAATTGTGTGGTTTTCTTTTGGAATAAGATGTTCACATTCTTTATAAGGTCTTCCCTCCGCGTAATCAATATGAATGACGTCATTAGGTCTGGAAATCTTCACAGCATGTCTCACGCTGCGACATGGTAATGTCCAGTTGCCACAATTATCTTCAACTTGTCCGTGGTGACTGACGAATACATCCCTTAATAAAGCGTGGCGAATACCTATAAAATATTTTTAAACTTATCTACTTTAGTTTTTTTAGTCTAGTGAGGTAAAGCAGGAGACTGAGAGCTTCATTCTCCTTCCAGAGGCTTGCCAATTAGCCTTTCTCACGCCGCCATTTTTGGGTGGCATTTCAGGCGAAGTCGTCTGCAGGATAAGTCCACATAACAGCGATTTTTCATATTTTTTGGACGAATGATAGTAAATTTGCTTTGTAATGGTTACTTTATTTTTAAAAATTGCTTTTCACGTTGTTTTAATCGTCTGCATTGGTTAACGAGAATTAGATGCCGCCACCCAACTGAAATGACAGATATTCGTCATCGTGAAAAAGGCTAACTCTTGACGAAGGGCCTTCGCTAGAAACGTCGAGTTTGTGCTTGTTTTTTGAGGTAGTAATATAACCACTCAGCACAGCATTTTCACATTGGTACTACCTACACTGGTACAGACAGTTTTAGTATAATTAGTCATTCTGAAGTTGATGAGTGGACTGGGGACGAGCATTAAAAACTGCCCAAATTAAGAAAATCGCTAAAAAGACCACCTCAAAATTAATAAGTATACAAAGTTTGAAGACGTTTAAATGAATACCCTTCGAATAATAAACTTTCGAAAATTATGAAATTACTGATTAAAAGATTGCTTTTGGGACGCGCGTCCCAAAAACAAAAATTGCAATACATTTCATAGTAAATATCGGATTCTCGAAAGCTTATTATTCGAAGGATATTCCTGTGAACATCTTCAAACTTTGTATACTTACTAATTTTGAGGTGGTCTTTTTAGTGATTTGGTTAATTTCTTAACTTGTGCACTTTTTAACACTCGTCCCCATTCCACTCATCAACTTCGGAATGGCTAATTGGTCATGGAGGCTTTCGAGAATTTTTATTAGTCTTATTATAGTGTTATTAGTCCGATAAAATCGAACGGTCTGTGTCAGCGTAGATAGTGACAATAAAACCAAAAAGCTGCGGATTGAAAGGAATCAACTACCCGAAAATTACAAGTAAGACTTCGACGTTTCGAGCGAAGGCCTTCCTGAGAAATAAAGATGCAAATTTAAAAGTGCAGTGAATGTTACATGGCGGCAGCACACAGCAATATATATGCTCGAAAACGCACAAGACTAATCCAGCGACAAGCCTGTGCGGAGGAGAGGGCGACGTATCTATTTGTTTTCAACTGTTGGAGTTATTATATTATTAGAAAGTTTATTATTAGCAAGACAAAATTACTGGATGCTGATTGGTTGAGAGGAGTATAATTATTTCGTTAATTGTACTGTAGTACAATGAATGATTTTCCCAAAACAAACAAAATGGCGGAAAGGTTTTTAAACACAAACGTGAACTGAAATTACCCTTGAGGAATTAGATGAAAATACGAAAAGCAGCAAATTTTGCTTTAGCAAAGGAACTAAATGAAAATACGAACAAAAGCACCAAATTTTGGTTGAAAGTCTGGCACGACTGGGCTTTGGCGAGAGAATATCGGATGTTGACATTGAGAAGTACGTATCCAATTTTGTCATGCTAATAATAAACTAGAAAATACATGCATGCAGAAACCCTCGCCTTGCTGACAAAACCATTTCAAAGTTGTTGTCATGGTAACACGATAATTTTTTAAGAATATTCTTACAAATGAAAAATCGCCTAAAAATATCACTTTTAATTACAAAATTATGAATTTCCCAACATATATATGTTAGGTATGTTATTATACGTAATATAAGCTTCAATTTAAGGTAAAATTCAACCACAAAAGCTTCGCAAAACGTTTTAAATGTTCTTTATAAAACTATTTAAAACTGCCTTTAATTATTAAAAAGGCTTTATCGATAAACTTTGAGTTTGCAATAAAATGATTTCAAATTCTCGCATGCAAATAATTTTGCTTTCTTTTTTATTTAAAAAATTCAATATAGGCCTAATAAAAAAGGGAATCAATATTATTAATACACTGAAATTATATGCTGTCTTGTTTAGTTGTTTCATATACGCAAAGCCAAAGGGCCAAAGCGGCCGTCGGGTTTTAAAGTAATTATAAAATCAATATTTAAAACAAACTTACCTTCGTTGACGTCGGCTCCCTTCTCTTACCCGATTCTTTCGCCCTTTAATTTCTTTCTTGAAATTTACAACATCTTGCAAAAATGCGAGCAAAAATTAAATATATTTGCAAGAAATTTATCAATCATCAAATCAAGAAATGTTTGCTATTTCGCTGTCGACAGTCGTTATAAGTGTTTGCTATTTCGCTGTCGACAGTCGTTATAATGCAAACTTTAAATTGGACCAATCAGTGTCAGCTATTCATGACAGTCCGCCATATTTTTGAGATCAGTGAGGATGACCACCCACCACCCACCGAACCACTCACGGTAACCCACGCCCGCGCTCATTGATGAACTTTAGACTTGGCTAATGCTTTCGTTTCCCCGGGTGTAAATAGCCGGGGGGAATTAGTACCCTCGCACGGCGCTTCGCGCCGTCCGCTCGGGGACAAGTAATCATGCGATGTTGCTCATACAATTAGGGATTAATAATACTCGTGATGTTTGGAAATTTGCCAAATTGGACTCGCCCCGGCGGCTCGTCCAATTTTGGCAAAATTCAAAACACTCGTACTATTAATCCCTAATTGTACTCGCTATCGCATGATTACCTATACTAATTATTCCGTTATACAGTGTGTATAAAAAAAGCTAGTCTTTGAAATTCAAATTAGTCATAATTACAGTGATCTCATTAGAGTTAATGATACGTGACAAAAACGTGTGCTGTTTACAAAAGAGATCAATTAACTTTATTTTAATGCTGCTTGTACTGTACAGGGTAGTTCATTGAGTTGTCCGTGCATGTCCCAAAAGTAGAAGATCTTTCGTTTTACGACTCGCTAATTGATTAGCAGTAATTATAAATTCAATACGATATGACTAATTTGAATTTCAAAATTATAAAAAAGTTTTTATGGACCCTGTTTTTTTTATGCACCCTGTATTATAAAATTACATGCTCCCAAAAGGGCTTTTCAGCATACAATTACAATAGAAAGACTAAAATATACTATTATATACAGGCGGTTAAAAATGGTACATTGTTCAATTATTTAAAATGTGTTTCTTTACTTCAGATTTAAAATCTCTGATATTTCTTATTTCATGTATGCTTGAGTTGTTGTTGTTCATGCTAAGTGAAGTGATTTCATAATTCATTTTCCCGTCATTATCCATCTTTATTATCATTTGTTGAATTCAACAGCTCATTGTCAATTACTTTCCTTTGCTAATGAGCCGCTTCGTTGGTCATCGTCAAACATTTGCATTTCAATGTCAGCACAGACATTATATTCACCACACAAAATACTTTTCGGTATACAGTAGACTTCCTGAAGTGATTTGCCATCGTTTATAATTGAATTAACTGAATTTTCTTTAACCATTTCATTAAATGTTATGCTTTTGTTTCTATTCCCGCGAGACTTTTCGATAGAAAAAACTTTCCCCTCCAATTCAGAAATTCGTGATTCCAAAATTGTGTTCTCTGTACTTAATCTGCATAAATCTTGTTTACTTGTATTTATAATTTTAACTTGTTCAGACAAGGGAGCACGCCAGAAATATTTGTGTAAATTTATACTAACCTTTTAATTGCATGTAAATGTTTTCAATTTCATCGGGCGCCATTTTGAATGTTGAAAGCGGTATATATTATTAACTTATCGCAGGCGCGATAATTTATGTTCATCTTTGACATTAATTTATGTTACACGATGATACTCCGAAGGGCGACCGAGAAAGATCCGAAATTTAAAATAAGGCGGAGAAAAAATAATAAATAAAGAGGGGAGTGAAACGGCCGAACACGTGATGGGGTATTGGCCAATGACAACACGTATATCCAATTTCGTTACCTGGCCATGCTCGTTGACCAAGAACTGTCGAATCTGAAATATATCAAAACCTGTATTGATTTGCATCGTTGCTTGCCAGCAGTGAATTTTCGACAGCAGAGAAACAAAAACATTTGGGAGCTGGACACAAAATACAGTATTAATAATTATGAAGGAAATTCAAAAGAAATGAATGTTTAATCAATGTATGTAAATCGATCGGATAATAGATTTGTAAATTGTCCTCATTTACATAAACTTCAGCTTCGATTTTCTCGGCTTAGACAATGTTTATTTTTAAAATTACTTCGCCAATGAACTCATATGATGGATCGCCTTTTAAGCACGTTAAAACACGAGCAGCCGATGTTTATCTGATATACAAACTCTCGCCATTGTCCCCAATTTTAATATATTCTAATGTGACTCGCTTGAACTAATTATAGTAGGCAAATATAAAACAAGGGTAAATCCGAAAATAATAAAAAAAATTTATTTTCGGAGTTACCGTTGTTCTATATTATATTAAAATACTCAGTGGTTCACGCAATAGTAGGTCTCATTTTGTTTCCGGTTTGTTCCTAGCAACATCAAATGTTCCTAGCAACAGTCAACCAGCATCAGTGGATAATAGTTCGGCCGTTTCACTCCCCTCTTTATTTTTTATTATTTCTCCGCCGTGTTTTAAATTTCGGGTCTTTCTCGGTCGCACTTCGGAGAATCATCATGTAACATAAATTAATGTCAAAGATGAACATAAATTATTGCGCCTGCGATAAGCTAATAATATATACCGCTTTCAACATTCAAAATGGCGCCCGATGAAAATTGAAAATATTTACATGTAATTAAAAAGTTAGTATAAATTTACACAAATATTTCTGGCGTGCTCCCTTGGTTCAGAAAGTTTATCCAACAAATTTACCATTTCCGATTCGATCTTTTCTTTAAAAATGAAAAAACGTGCCTCCATTGTACTGTAACCGAATTATCATTAACACGCTGCTGAAGTGGGGTAGAATTACCGATTTCTTGGGCGAAATTTCTAGTACAGTCATCCCTCGGCAAGGCGATCGCATTATAAAATGAATTGGCAATAAAATCCTCAAGTTCCTTGAGCGTAGAGGTGTCTGCGACCGATGCCGTGTCTTCGCTTATAGGTGTGTAAGTTAGATCGTCAAAATAAACCCTTGTGGCCCCAGTCGACCGCTTGTATATATTGACTTGCTAGGGCGACGATTTTACTTCAATATAGGGGACACAAATACAGCCTTCGTTTCGCAAATATTTATCAAGAATTCCCTGAACAAATATCCCTCTTTACCTTGCAATAAAAACGTTTCCTGCTTACCGTAATACTGCAAGTTATTGTCAGATCGGAATTGCGGCTCTTAAACGTGTATGAGTTGCCACCAGTTGAAGTCCATTTGCCGTTTAATCCAACAATGTTTTCTAAAAAAACTTTGCAATTCGTCAAAGTTATTGTTCCATTTTAAACGTTTACCGTCGTAGGCAAGGTTACAGTCATCATTATAAGGTCGAAAGGCACCAGAATTCAAGTTTTGAACACTAAATTTAGAGTATTCCACAGAGCTATAGGACTGTCGTGACCGACCGACACGATGACGAGTGATGGTGTTTGAAATCAAGAACGGCAGTCAATGTACTTTTACGGTCGTAATTTCCAACAAGAACGGCTGTTATACCATCACCATGGATTGTAAAATAACTGGATAGGAAACCGTAGTCACATTACATGTTTCCATCCCGCTGATTGGCTGAAAGGTCTTTGTTTTTGCTCGAGAGATGTTGAAACCTATAGGTTGCAAATCGTGATGTCAACAATGGAGAATGATGGCGAAGTCTTGTTGCTTTGCCTATGCTTTTGACTGAATTTTTTTACCTTTTCATGTTTTTTGCTTGTGTTTGTTCTTGTCTTTTGGTATTTTATACTGATCTATGGCCAAAATGAACCCGCTTAAGCCACACAAACAACTCTTAAGGCGTGTTCATCTTTATTGTTTACATTATTGTCATTTTACAACAGAGATAATTGCGTCGCCAAAAGCAGCTTATATTGCCCGATTTCTTCCGCATTTTGCGAAAACGACGACGCATATATTCAGAGTATTTAATCTGTGCATTTTTACCCATGTCCTACTTCAACAAGTAGATTTATCCTTTTATTGCGGCTTAGTCATATTTACAAATATTGGTTTTAAATATTTTTTTTCCATTTTAACTTGTGTTTTGAAAGCCAATTTGCACCTATAGGTTTAGACTGTGACGTAACGAAGTTTCCTATCCAGTTATTTTACAATCCATGCCATCATGATCACTCGCCATCTATATAGATTACATATAGATTACGTATGGACAGATGTGAAACTTCAATACAGTCAGTGTCGCTCGCGTAATTATTCGTCATTTGGTAATACGTCATTTCAACGTCATTTTCAACATCTTTTCTAGAACTTTAATTGCTTTCAACAACTTTAAACATTTAATTAATTCACAAATGATGTTCATGATTGTTTAGTCCATATATTTTGATTCAAAAAGCCCGCAATAAAATGCAAAAGTTCGTGTTTTTCAGGACGTCATATTGCTGGCAAGTGTCATGGCATGAGCATGACGTGTACATCTAGGGGAATTTGAGAACACGAAGTCCTATTAAGTTACAAATCTGGTATATACTTAATCTGTGCCATCTATAACGGTTCAACTTACTGACGGTTGACGAGAAACAACGCTTTAACTGCTCGTACCTTTGTTTTCTGCATTCCTCATTTGTCAGTATCACTGATCTTAAGCGCAGGTATATATTTGTCCGCTCATTCGTAGCATTTCGGTGTATATTCGGTGTAAGCAAGGGGCCAGGGTACTAATTCCGCCCGGCTATTTACACCTGGGTATTTGAGAACATAGTGAAATGCAAAGTTGTCCTCCATTATGTCAGAGAATACTACACAGAAGTCTATCTCCACTGTTTTTTGCGTAAGCGCTATTCGTCATGATTCGTCACTCAGCAAGTACCGTAAACAGAAGCAGTCACCTCCCTGGACGTGTGCCACTTTGAATATTTCCAGGGGATGGCTGCTTCTGTTTACGGTACTTGCTGAGTGACGAATCATGTCGAATAGCGCTTGGAGATGGACTTCTGTATAGTATCATAGAGGAGAGACATACAGATTTGTAACTAGTGTACCCATTTTTTTGTGCGCATGCTATTATTATTATTATTAATGGTTTATTTGCATATTATCGCATTGAAAATGAATTACAATATGCTTACATGGAAATATACTAAAATTTACAAAAATACTAGAATATGAATTACTATATCTAATATAAATGTTAAAACCTAATATACAAGTTAAGACCATAAAGGCCTATACGTCAACTTGACTATAGCACATTGCCGGGATAAAACTATTCTTAAACCTCTCAGTGCTACATTTGGGAAGCGATAATTGATTATTATTTCTCAAACTCCGTCCATGGACGTTTCCGCGAGTTGACGGCAACAAGTGGTACAGTTTCGAGCAAGGCTTAGCAATCTTTTGTAAGGTATTCTGACATATTGACTGCCTTCTATCATCAAGGCGAGAACAACGACTGATAGATAGGGATTCCGCATAATCAGTGAAAGGGTACAGAATTCGCAGAGCACGTTTCTGCACCCGTTCAATTTTGTTGGAAAGATACTGAGGTAGGCTGGTATGCCAGACTGCACAAGCATATTACAAAACAGATCTGATTAAGGCGTTATAGATTGAGAGCAAGTCAGCGGATGGAATTCTCACTTTAAACTTGCTGAGCACGCGTAGTTGATCATTTTTTGCCCGGTCGCCTGAAAAAAAGTGGGTACATGAAAACGTAAGCTTCCGCAGTATTTACGACGGCCAGTTACAACTCTGTATGTCTCTAGATCTACTCTGTGATAGTATTCTGTGATTATGTAATGAACGATCTTCGACGTTATGCGCATGCGCGAGTACAAGCTCGCGCACTAAAAAAGTTTTTCATTTTGCAAAGAAAAAATGTATTGCTGCTTTACAATATATTTTTATTTGAATGTAGTTTGCTGTTTTCCAATATATTTTTGCGACGTATTTTACTTTTAACTGGAAACAAGCCTGTAGTTTCATGAATTAGTGGCCGTCAACCGTGAAACAAAGTGTAAAAGACATGCATATTAAACACGAATTTTGTCGAAGACAAAGCAGATGTTCTAATAAATTTAATCGTTGTCTTGGCTATGTTTGGATGCTTTTATACTGGTTTTTCGCGTCCTTATTTACATGTCGTCTTTGTGTGTATTTTTGTCACTCTGAGTAAGTCCATATAATAAACAGAACATTAAACGGTTGCGAGAAGATATGGATTTATGTTCTCGTGTCAGAAACAATATCTCACTCGTTCCGGCGCTGCGCTCACTCGTGAGATATTGTTTTGCCGCTCTAACATAAAATCCATATCTCTTCGCAACCGTCTAATATCCTCTATTTATTTGGGGGCAATTAATACAGCGTATCGTGTTTTTATATAGTCTTTCAAACACTCATTAATATTTCATAAGCTTATTAGCAAATCATGTCAACCATAATATGTCACGTGCAGCGGCTTTAAACCTGATAAAACACTCCTAATTAGTATTCTTTATATAAAGAATACTAATAAGGTAGTATCTATTGTACTCGTGTCCTCATTAGTATTCTTTATATAAAGAATACTAATAAGGCAGTATATCTATTGAATTTGTAGTCGTGTTTGAAGCCGTTTAATAAACTCGCAGGTCGTGTTTTATTAGGTCTAAAGCCACTCGCGCCGCGCGCTCGTGGGTTTAAACCTAATAAAACACCCCTGTTCGTTTATTAAACAGTACTTTACCTACAGCGAATATGGCTTGATCAAAATAACTCAAAAATAGGTACGCAGTGCGTACATGTTGCATGCCATCTGAAAACTTATGATGCGCTATAGCGCTTATATAAATCTTTGGTACAACTGGCGTGAAACTTAAAATATTGATTCAATAAGTTTAAAATATCAATATATTTATTAAAAAATAGCTGTTATGTCAAAATAAGGAAACTTAACATTCTCACGCGAATTAGCCTACGGTGTATACCCCAGAAGAAACACGCGTATAGGCAATGTTTTTATAAGGGACCGTTAATAGCATAGAATGAAGATCCATATAGAAGGGCCACTTACGTCGGAAGCTTTAAAGTTTCTGTCCTCACGCATGTCGCATTACGCATGTTGGCCGCCATTTTCCTAGCCAGTCAATGGCATTTTCTGGTCAATAAACACGCTGTACTGGCTGGCTGCTCCGCCTTCTGGCCAGGGAACTGCATATTTTTGCATAAAAAAACGAGGCCACGTTGCACCGCTTAGTGGCCCTTCTGTTATAGCCCGCGTGCAGGCCCAAGGGAAATAGTGGGCCTGCAAGCAAGGCCCGGTATTTTGTACTTTCCGCGTTCGCCCACGAACGCAGCATTCTGATTGGCTGTTTGCTGTTGGATTCTATAATTAGGTCAGCGATTCATCACAAAGGCTCTCGATAAGCTTAAAATTCGAAAATTGATCACTTTTTTCGATTACAAAATGCAACAAGAACAAACTGTTTATTGTTTACTTGAAGGAAGAGATGTTTTTGCCGTTATGCCAATGGGGATTGCTTGTCGTGAAGTGTTGGAATAGCAACATTACGACTGGGGTAAACTATAGTAACCTTTACTTGAGTTTCCTTAATTTCAAACAGACTTGATACGTTATATGTTCCTCAAGAAAATTACCTTTTGGTTGAAGTTGACTCTGTTCTTGCACTGAAGAAAACAGCGCTTTTCGTGGTGAAGATTTAGAGGCAGTTGCATGTAAGCCTATTCGAAACACTTTAATTAATTGCGATTTAATAGGCTTCGCTGAGAGAGCGAAACAGAATACGGTAATTGCCGTTTGAAACGAAACGATCTGGACGCTCTGAACGCTCTCTTCTTTTGTAGAGTTCTTTACCAAATGAAATAACGGAAATAAATTTCGTACTTTCCGCCGCCAACAAGAATTGCAGACACGATCTGATAAGTGAGACAATTTATTTATAACAATGGCGACAGCGAAGCACTCGCACGACTTCCCTCACGATTTGAAGTTTGAGACTGGTTTTCTGTTGAAATTCGTCCTAATTTGCCTGTTCTGATTTTAGTTGAAAATGAGCACTTGCAAATTTGGCAATTACTGACTGCGTTGCTTGCTTTTTTGGAGTTAAAACGCAGCCATTTACACATTGTTTCTCTTTTGAATAAGCAGAGAAAACCCCGCAACATTTTAATGCGAGTTTGTTGTTAATATTTGGGTTGCTGTCATTGGTTCTTTTTTGACAATTGACGCGCGAATGGGGCGTGTTATGAAAAGGGGCGTTTTACAAAATACCGGGCCTTGCTTGCAGGCCCACTATTCTTCCCCGCTTGGGCCTGCACGCGGGCTACTTCTGTTACTGATCTTTATTCTGTGGTCAATAGTTAGTTGTAATTGTAAACAACGGTAATAATAGCATTAACAAGGTCAAGGTCGGTCAAGGTTTTATCAAATCTATAACTAAATAATGTTATTTCCTTTAGATTTAGCTTTATTGTAACTTTTTAAAGGTATAAAAAAAACGTGAAAACGGTGAATTACTATAATAGATTGAAAATTATTATTATTTATCATTTTGACGTTTGAGTGATTGAAATGAGTTAATTCACACTACATCGAATGTCATGTTGCAGCATGTCATGTTGAATCTCATGCGTACTTCACAATGGTTGCTATTTCGTTGTATTAAATTTCAATAGTATGTATATTGTATAAATACTATTTATGGCCACATAAAATAAATTCCTTGATTCTCATCACCGCCCGACTGTATTTTAAGAGCCGCGTGAAATTTTTTTATATTTTGTTATACAATATAAATGAACCGCCCGACAAAATATTTCAAGACAGTTAAGTTTTTTATATTTAAAATTGGGTTTTTAGTGCCATTTTAAACTGCCAATTTCAAACAAATAGAACCTTGAAAGAAATTTCATTGCATTTTAACGGAACTTCGCATTCAGTTGAACGGTTCAGTCATTGTTCGTGGAGAAATATGTTCATTTTGGTTTGTGACACTTCACTTTGGAAATCACAGAAATATTAAATGTTAGGAATTATCAGTTTTTTATTTATTGATGATAAATTATATAAATATAAAATATAAAATATAAACCTCCCGGCTCTTCGACATTTTCAAAGTCTAGTGATGAGAATCAAGGAATTTATTTTATGTGGCCTATAATTCAAATTTTGTTTGATATTTATATATCATGTTATTTACAAAATGTGCTGTAGTTTTGAAGCTTTGCACACAATATAATCAGTGCGAGCACAATGGCTCCGTTTCAGTTTGAGTATATAAAAATCGAGTATTTTGATAGCGTTCGCGGCTTTGAGGCTTTCACGATATATAAATATTTAAACGCCTGATAATTGATAAATAATCACTAATCAGTGCGAGTACAAACGGCTCCAAAATCACAACAAATAACAGAATATAAGGTAAGCTAAAAACAGTAAAGCGTTACCTACCTCGATTTATTTTTCTAAAGTAGTCTAGGACCTGTATATGAGTTTGTATGCGATTCATTTAGGACAGGTAATCTCAACTGTTTTAGGGTAAAATGACTATGACGGTCAACATGGCATATGTG